TGAGAGATCATAGGGAGAAGGGGGAGGTGAGTGTGAATAGGAGACCCGCCCAGATGAGGGATGAGAGGGAGGAGGAGGAGACGGGTACGAACAGGGGACCCACCCAGATGAGGGATCAGAGGGAGGAGGGGGAGGCGAACAGGAACAGGGGACACGCCCAGATTAGGGAGCAGAGGGGCGAGCGGGAGGCTAGACAGGGAGAGAGGACTCAGGAGGGAGAGAGACGTGATGATGTTCCAATTGGTGTGGACAGCTCGAGGGGAACTAACAACCGTGATAGACCACCTTCTGATGAGAGTATGAGGGACCGCATCGGGGTGGTTAATCTGTCTGATAGACATCTCACAGATGCAGAGCTGTCTCTTCTGGGTAAAGGGCTTTCTTTTGTGCCGACCAAACGCCAGACAGTAGCACAGCTAGTGTCTGAGTTGAAGGAGTGGGAGCGCCTGATGAGGCTCAGAGAATACTGGGACGGGGAGATAGGAGAACGGCAGAGTGGGCAGGCTGATATAGACGCGCGTTATAAAGAGTCAAGGTGGACACCACCGAAAGGGAGGGACCAGTGGCTAGACTTATACATTGAGGAAGTATCCACTGGTATCGTGAGAGGACTGAAAAAGAAAGGTAGGTCAAATCTCACTCAGGCCGAGAACGATGCTTTGCTCTCTCTGGTGAACGATGAGTCCATTGTTATAAGGCCAGCTGACAAGGGATCGTCCTTTGTGGTGATGAATACTAGCGACTACATCTCGAAGCTGGCGGGTGAAATTGAGGAGGGAGATGGATATGACAGGACCAACGGTGACATAACCCCTTCAGTAACGAAAAAGGTTACCAAACTCGCTGCTAAGATGGAGGGAAAAGGGTACATTGGCAAACATCAAAAGAAATACTTAATACCTCCAAGACCCACTCCGGGGGCCCTACAGGGTAACCCCAAGATTCATAAGGGTGGGGCCCCGATGAGAGCAGTAGTAAGCGGGAGGGGACATGCCACGGAAAGGATGGCAGAGATGGCAGAGAGCCATCTCACAGAGCACGTGGAGGCCCAAGCATCATACATCAGGGATACTACAGATTTCCTTGCAAAATTACGGGACCTAGGGCAGCCGGTAACAGGAAGGGGTGGAGGCAAACCACTACTTTTTTGTATGGACGTAGCGAAGTTATACCCCAGCGTCCCGAGAGATGAGGGAGTAGCCGCGTGCCGAGAGGCTTTAGACCAGAGGAAAACAGCTAAAATTCCCACGGAAGAGCTCCTTGAAGTCATACAGTTAGTTTTAGATAATAACAATTTCCAGCTGGGAGGGGATAACAACTATATTCAGACCGAAGGAACGGCTATCGGCTCAAAATTGGGAAGGAACTTTGCATGTACCTATATGGGTGCATGGGAGAAAACTCTACTGGAAAGGGCGTCCAACCAGCCAGACCGGTGGTACCGTTTCATCGACGACATATGGGGAATCTGGACCCACGGGGAAGAATCACTAAAATCCTTTCATCACCTAGCGAACCTAATTCATCCAAATATACAAGTAGACTTACGATTTTCGGATACAAAAATAGAGTTTTTAGATGTGGAGGTGTTACTGAGCGAACTGGGCTATATCACAACAAATTTGCATATCAAGCCGACCGATGCTCAGGCATACCTCCACTACACCTCAGACCACCCACCATGCGTCAAGAGGGCTATCCCCAGGGGACTGGGAGTGAGATTGAAACGGATCTGCTCAGATGAGAAAGCTTACAGGTATCACAGGGACCGACTGGCAAACAGGCTGAAGGAGAGAGGGTACCCTGGGAATGAGGTCAGTTCCGAGCTAGCGAGGGTGGACCAGATTGATAGGGGTGGTTTACTTGTCAGCAGGGATAGCAAACAGAAGAGTACGGACAGGGTTCCAATGGTGATAACCTTTAGCAGCTTCCTCCCAGACGTAAGAGCTATCATGAAAAAGAACAGGCATATCTTGAGGAAATCTGACAGGTTAAAAAGTATTTTCAAGAGAGATTCAATGGTAGCTTACAAGAGGGGAAGCAACCTAAAGGATCTACTAGTGCATAAGAAAACGAGGAGGGCACTTGCAACCCGGGGAAGGCAGGACTGTGGAGGCGATTGCGTTATCTGCAAAGCCTTCTACGAAGGAGAATCTGTCCCTGGAGCACAGGGACCTGTGCACTACGATAGAACTATTGGTTGCAAAACTTCAAATTTAGTGTATGGGATCTGGTGTGAAAAGTGCAAGAAGGTGGTTTATGTAGGACAGACGGGAGACACTATATACAGGAGGGTTCAGAACCATCTCTCATCAATTAGGTGCAACAGAGTTGGGAGAATCCCGGTTAACAGGCACTTTACAGTGGAAGGGCACACAGAGGGAGACTTCAAAGTCGTTGGACTAGAGAGAACCTGGGGTAACTCAGAGGACCGTAGAAAATTTAGAGAGATGAGATGGGTGGGGTTACTGGGAACACAGAGGGACAGTGAGGGAGAGAATGTAAGAAGGGAGGGTTAGGTATACTCTAACCGGCTGCCCGGTGCAGGTACGTTTTGGTCCGACGTCGCAGTCTTCCATGGGTGACTGTGGGGACGTGTCTAGGTTTGGCGCGTCCCCGCAGTCACCCATCTTAGGTTGCACCGTTGGGTACGTGGGGCCTTGCAATGTACGGCCGGCTTTAGAGGACAGTGATTGACGTCTTACCTCTCGAAGATGCCTCTAATTTGTGCCGCTACTAGATAGTACGTAGAGGGCCTGTTGTAGCCCGCTCCAGCACCGTTTTCGCCAAATGTTTACTCTGTGGCTAAAGTATGTAATCGGATCGCTAAGGCAGTTTATCGCATTATTCCGTTTCGAAACAGTTCGCTATAGTACTTAGAAACGTCAGATCGAGGGCTCTTGTCAGGTATTCTGGTGCCTGCCTGACAAGTAGGCTGTGCCGCAGAGCACGGGTGTACTGCGGGCTGTCTGTCGACTGTGTGATTTGCGCCCGTTGACTGTACCGACGATGGTGCGGTAAATTAATGATATATCCACCGTATTTTATTGCGGATGCATAGGGCTAGGTGGGGTAGTTTGCACCTGGTGGATACAGCCGAAATTGAATTTCCAGGAAACCGGAGGACCATGCTTGTTTGTGCTCGTTGTGTGTAGATGTGTATTTTGCGATTCGCCTTGTTTTGTCTTTGCTGCGCCAGAAGCAGATATGGCTTGCCAGAGTTAACTTCTGAGGCAGACTTTAGCAATAAAAAGTCGAAACGTCACTTATTAGTTTGTTCGCTATATATATATATATATATATATATATATATATATATATATATATATATATATATATTAGTGTAAGCTGGAAGCAGATTATTCTTATGGCAATGCTCATTAAATGATAACGCAGCTTTTCCGTTTATAAGCTTACGGTTTATGGACTCTAGTGCTCTTATAGCTTTCTTATTGCTTTCAACATGTTCAAAAAGGATATTACCCAAGCTCATAATGGTTCACAAAAGTATTATTTCCATTAAATTGACCTTATAGTTCGACGCGTTTCGTATATTCCCTATACATTTTCAAGAACAAAGGTCATGTCACACATTTCGGTCAAATCAGTTCGTTTGAATTAATCCACCGCGAGATAGTCGCTCGTGATAAATCGCAAAAGACATTTCTGAAGAAACTGGATATGCTTATAGAAAATGAATTAAACGAGTTACATCAACATTAACGAATTGCATCCATCCATCCAGGTAAGCGCAGCTTTCTAGTGGGCGACACGTGACCTAGGTCAGGCGCCGACCCTCATACAACTGCAGGGTTCCTCGGGCGTTTATCTGCCGATTAATGGCTGGGTCCTTTTCCCTGATCATGATGGCCTCGAGAGCCGCCAGTCGTCGCCAGTCCGATGCTCTCGCCAGAATGGAGGTGTTGTCCACGATTTCCGGTCTGGTCAGTAGGGTTTGGTGTTCAGTCTGGGTGTGTTGCTGCGGTCCTCCGCTCTGAAGGTGCATAGTTAGGCGCGGGGACAGAGTCGTGGTGGTGAGGCCGATATAGCCACTTGAAGGGAGGAGCGCACAGTCTCCTTTGTTGCATTTGAAGTGGTATACCAGGTTGCTCTGTTTTAGGGGTGACTTGTCATTGGCCATGTTGTTCTTCATGATGAGTGATGTCGTTGTGGGACTCTGATAGTAGATGGAGATTTTGATGCGGTCTTCTGGATGAACGGGCTTGCAGTTGCGCCGTATGATGTTCTTGAGCGCCGACTCTTCTGCTCGATAGCCGCTGGTCATCTGGCTCTTGTAGTAGAGGCTGATGACGTTGCCTTCATTTGATGTTGTCTGTGATCCTTTGGTGATGTGGTTGTTGACGATAGATTGTATTTGTTGGTCGATGGTGGTCAAGTCATAGTTATTATTGACCAGGACCTGTTTTATCCGCTGCAGCTCTTGGTGGACCAGTGGCCAGCTGGAACAGTGCCTGAGGGCTCGGTGGACATACGCCCTCACCACGCCGTCCTTGTAGCGCTGAGGGCACTCACTTCCACCGTTCAGGCATCTCTCGTTGTCCGTCGGCTTGCGGTAGACACTGGTGGTGAAGTTGCCACTCTCAGCATCGATGGACACATCAAGGAAGCTGATCCTATTGGCTACACTCTCCTCAACAGTGAAGCTGAGGCCGGAGACCTCCTCCAGTCGTGCCTTCAGTCGCTGCAGTGATGACATGTCACTGACTTCCACCAGGATGTCATCGACATATCGGCAGTACAGGTTTGGTTTCACACGGCTTTCACTGAGGACTTCGTTCTCAACTGCCGACATGAACGCCTGGGCGAATAGCACGCCGAGCGGCGAGCCCATGGCGATGCCGTCCTTCTGGTAATAGAGTTGACCTTGCGGGCAGCGGAACGGCGCCTTAGTGGTGCAGAGGCGGAGCATAGCACGCATGACTGGCTCTGGGATGTCGGGTGCTGGCAGATCGACACTGTTGTAGAGGTAGTTGGAGATGATGTTGATCGTGCGCTCCACCGGGACGTTGGTGAAGAGGCTGCAGACATCAAGTGATGCTAGAGTTCCGTGTCTGGTCCTGTTTTTCAGCAAATCGATGAACTCAGCAGATGATTTGAGCGAGTACGTGGCAGGGATGAATGGGCTGATGATCTTGTTCAGCTCCTTGGCAAGTTTGTATGTAGGAAGAGGTATCTGCGATATTATAGGCCGAAGGGGATTTCCCTGCTTGTGGGTCTTTACGTTGCCGTAGAAATACCCCGGCTGATATTCACCCGTTATCTTGTCGAATTTGAAAGTTTTGCTCGCCTTATTTGAAGCACTGATCAGGTCGTTTGCGCTCCTCTTCAATTGGTCTACAGGGTTCCTGGATATCTTTTGAAACTTGCTCTGGTCGCTTAAGATATCTGCCGTTTTCTTGTGGTAGTCCGTGGCACGAAGTCCGAAGCACGAAGCACAGAGCAGGGCGGGGCCGATCATCGCTGGACCCTAGACTGAAACGAGCTGCTACTGAGCTACGCAACAATGACTCTATTGTTGTTAGGAGGGCGGACAAGTCCCAGATGTTTGTAATATTGGACTCCACGGACTACCACAAGAAAACGGCAGATATCTTAAGCGACCAGAGCAAGTTTCAAAAGATATCCAGGAACCCTGTAGACCAATTGAAGAGGAGCGCAAACGACCTGATCAGTGCTTCAAATAAGGCGAGCAAAACTTTCAAATTCGACAAGATAACGGGTGAATATCAGCCGGGGTATTTCTACGGCAACGTAAAGACCCACAAGCAGGGAAATCCCCTTCGGCCTATAATATCGCAGATACCTCTTCCTACATACAAACTTGCCAAGGAGCTGAACAAGATCATCAGCCCATTCATCCCTGCCACGTACTCGCTCAAATCATCTGCTGAGTTCATCGATTTGCTGAAAAACAGGACCAGACACGGAACTCTAGCATCACTTGATGTCTGCAGCCTCTTCACCAACGTCCCGGTGGAGCGCACGATCAACATCATCTCCAACTACCTCTACAACAGTGTCGATCTGCCAGCACCCGACATCCCAGAGCCAGTCATGCGTGCTATGCTCCGCCTCTGCACCACTAAGGCGCCGTTCCGCTGCCCGCAAGGTCAACTCTATTACCAGAAGGACGGCATCGCCATGGGCTCGCCGCTCGGCGTGCTATTCGCCCAGGCGTTCATGTCGGCAGTTGAGAACGAAGTCCTCAGTGAAAGCCGTGTGAAACCAAACCTGTACTGCCGATATGTCGATGACATCCTGGTGGAAGTCAGTGACATGTCATCACTGCAGCGACTGAAGGCACGACTGGAGGAGGTCTCCGGCCTCAGCTTCACTGTTGAGGAGAGTGTAGCCAATAGGATCAGCTTCCTTGATGTGTCCATCGATGCTGAGAGTGGCAACTTCACCACCAGTGTCTACCGCAAGCCGACGGACAACGAGAGATGCCTGAACGGTGGAAGTGAGTGCCCTCAGCGCTACAAGGACGGCGTGGTGAGGGCGTATGTCCACCGAGCCCTCAGGCACTGTTCCAGCTGGCCACTGGTCCACCAAGAGCTGCAGCGGATAAAACAGGTCCTGGTCAATAATAACTATGACTTGACCACCATCGACCAACAAATACAATCTATCGTCAACAACCACATCACCAAAGGATCACAGACAACATCAAATGAAGGCAACGTCATCAGCCTCTACTACAAGAGCCAGATGACCAGCGGCTATCGAGCAGAAGAGTCGGCGCTCAAGAACATCATACGGCGCAACTGCAAGCCCGTTCATCCAGAAGACCGCATCAAAATCTCCATCTACTATCAGAGTCCCACAACGACATCACTCATCATGAAGAACAACATGGCCAATGACAAGTCACCCCTAAAACAGAGCAACCTGGTATACCACTTCAAATGCAACAAAGGAGACTGTGCGCTCCTCCCTTCAAGTGGCTATATCGGCCTCACCACCACGACTCTGTCCCGGCGCCTAACTATGCACCTTCAGAGCGGAGGACCGCAGCAACACACCCAGACTGAACACCAAACCCTACTGACCAGACGGGAAATCGTGGACAACACCTCCATTCTGGCGAGAGCATCGGACTGGCGACGACTGGCGGCTCTCGAGGCCATCATGATCAGGGAAAAGGACCCAGCCATCAATCGGCAGATAAACGCCCGAGGAACCCTGCAGTTGTATGAGGGTCGGCGCCTGACCTAGGTCACGTGTCGCCCACTAGAAAGCTGCGCTTACCTGGATGGATGGATGCAATTCGTTAATGTTGATGTAACTCGTTTAATTCATTTTCTATAAGCATATCCAGTTTCTTCAGAAATGTCTTTTGCGATTTATCACGAGCGACTATCTCGCGGTGGATTAATTCAAACGAACTGATTTGACCGAAATGTGTGACATGACCTTTGTTCTTGAAAATGTATAGGGAATATACGAAACGCGTCGAACTATAAGGTCAATTTAATGGAAATAATACTTTTGTTAACCATTATGAGCTTGGGTAATATCCTTTTTGAACATGTTGAAAGCAATAAGAAAGCTATAAGAGCACTAGAGTCCATAAACCGTAAGCTTATAAACGGAAAAGCTGCGTTATCATTTAATGAGCATTGCCATATATATATATATATATATATATATATATATATATATATATATATATATATATATATATATATATATATATATATATATAGTTAACAGACCAATGCCGATAATAAAATAGAGAACAGACTCGTTTGTGACGTTTCGATATATGTATATGCTTATATCTTCGTCAGAATAATAAATCGGCGTATCGTTCACACTTTTCGACAATCATATACATATACATATACGAAAGCATATACATATATCGAAACGTCACAAACGAGTCTGTTCTCTCTCTCTCTCTCTATATATATATATATATATATATATATATATATATATATATATATATATATATATATATATATATATACATACATATTGTGCTTTTAATCGAGGTGTTAAACGCCACTTAACGCTTCGTGAAGAGTTACAAAGACATTAACCCTCGCCCTGGCAGGGGGGGGTCGATGCGACCCCCCTAAGGTTTTTCGAAGATAGCGTAAAAACGGCGGCGCGCAGCGCCGCCAAATTTGGCACAGCCTATGGGGCAACCTTTTTACATATGACCTGAAAATTTCAGGTCCGGGCGACTTTGGGTCAGCCGTACAATTGTAGTTAGGTACAATTGGACTAGTTTGGCGGCAACGGAATCATGGCACGTGATTCCATGGCACGTGACGCCACCAAATTGCAGACACAACTTGGGGCATTCATTTGACACGTGTCCTGTGAGTTTTGAGTTCCACAGCTTTCAGGTCAGGTCACCATGTCACAAAAACCGTTGCATTGTCAAATTGGCACTAATAATACACAATCTTTTCACTTCTTAATTCGTTAAGTGCTTGCTGAATGTAAGGCATTTAAATCGTTTAATTGCTTTTGAATGACCTCCTTACAGAATATACATTTCATTCATGTATTTTTTCATTTAGATGAATTTTCGGCCACCGGCCATGATCACATCAATGCCAAAATATAAGAATATTCGAAGACAAAATACAAAGTAGGTACAAGTCGAATCATCGTCAGTTTCTACTTCTCTATACTTTTTGCATGATAAGAATGACAGGCACTTTCACACTTCGTAATGGGTACACTCGAAGTAATCGTAACATTCGCACAAATTTGTATTAGAAACATGAAAAACCAGTCAACATCATCCTACCACTATAAAGTTAGCATTTTGCTTTCCGTTATACACATTTGGCACAAAATGCATATGGAATTAATGACTTATGAATGTGCGTAGTAGCGATGTCAATCGGATACCAACTTTTTGGTATACCGATACCAAACCGATACCAACTTGGTATTTGGTATTTCAATCGTAATGTGTTTGGTATTTTGTTGGTATCATAAGCCCTTACTAATGTATAAGAGGCTAATAAATCGGTAAAAAGTTGGTATTTCCCTCAGTTTCCCAAGTTGGTTTGGTTTCGGTATTTTCCCGTGGTTTTGGTTGGTATTTGGTTTGGTATCGGTGTTCCGATTTTCCGTAATTGACATCACTAGTGCGTAGGCATGATGTCAGTGGCGAGTGTTAACAGCTACAAAATGTGCCAAGAAGATTTGTTTCGGTTGAGAACCGGTCTGTGTTTGCGAATTTGGATGGATGCACATGTTTTTCTGTGTGGATGGTCATTTGTCTTTTGCAGGATTTCTATCGATAAAAGTGTGTTCCCTGATGTGTCAGGATACTCCTGATGAGTGCCGTTAAAATGATCTCCGATGGGGGCGTATCCGGTGTTTTGTTTTTAGCGTTTCTAAGGTGTTCGTTGAAACGCAGCTGGTGGGTCTTTTTGTCTATCCTGCGTATGCGACATCCTCCCCCCTATACCTTGCAGAGCGTACATGTGATTTTGTAGACTACTCCAGGAGTTAATAATTAACCTTTAAGGCCAGATTCGCAAGCATGACATGTATGTACGTGTGCGAGACGGGCATTGTGGCTGAGAGAAAGCTGACCGAGTTAGAGCGCCTTTGAGAGTTTGAGTGTTACGCCATGCTACGCGTACGTTTAAGCCTGACTTTCTAACGATGGATTTTACTTTGTGGCGTTTACAGCTTCATCAATGTAAGGAAGGGTTAAGTATCCGTCCAGAGAGTCGGGGTCTATTTTACGTCGAGAGGGTTGCCTTCCTACATCAGAGTCCCCCCCCCCCCTATAGGTTTGTGCGACCTCTCTGTGTAGTCGTCACACGAGCTGTTTCCGGTAGCCGTTGGCTCCAAATAAGTCCTGTATTTTTTGACAGGAGCGGGAAGAGGCGGCTGTATCAGAGGACACTCGCATAGCCCGCAGGAACTCTTGAACGTATTACAGTTGTAATGTGACGATTATTTCATAAATATGCAAGATATTACAACAAAAATTACCCGACGTTTCGTTTATTATAACTTTTTCAAGGGTAACATTACCCTTGAAAAAGTTATAATAAACGAAACGTCGGGTAATTTTTGTTGTAATATCTTGCATATTTATGAAATAAACGTATTACAGCCTTTTTCGTGGCCATTGAATGTGATGAGGTTTGGTGAATGATGATGCCTGAATGATTGGGCTTGATATACAGTTCTGTTGAATATTTGAAATTGTTATCTACCGTTACTAGTGTGTCCAGAAAGGCTACTTTACCAGAAGAGAAGCTGTCCTCAAGAGTGAATTTGATTGTTGGATGAATTGAATTGAGATAGTCAATGAAACTCAGAAGGTTCTCGCGACCGTGTGTCCACACTCCTATGCAGTCGTCAATGTACATACCTGCCATAGAAATCTGGTTTTAGAGACGCGTTTCTGATGGCGGTCTGCTCGAAGTGGTGCATGAAGATGATGGCCACAGGAGGGGCCACTTTGTTCCCCATGGCGATCCCCACTTGCTGTTTGTAGTGGTCGTCATCGAATCTGAAGGTGTTGTTCTCCAGAACGTGAGTCAGAAGTCGTGTGACGTCCTCCGTGGATAGACCGCACAGGTCGATATCATCTTCATGTTCCGCTAAAAGCTCGGCGACAGCAGATACAGCATCATTGAGAGGGATGCTGCCGTACAAGTTTGTCACATCAATGCTGAAAAGTATGGCGTCTTGCGGCAGCTACTGCTCTGGGTACTGCTCTCGTAGTCGGCGAAGATACTCATCTGTGTTTTTTAGATGAGCAGGTATCTTGTCGAGAAGTTGGTTTAAGATTCGCTCTAGTAGCCAAGACGTTTTTTTTTCAGTGGGACCACCGCAACTGGAAATGATAGGTCTTAGAGGGAGTCTCCCTGCCATCAACAGGACGGCCACCATGGGCTCCGTTCTTCAGCGGCTCATGGTGCTACACAGGTCGGACCAGGTGGGTGACAGCACGTGATCGCCTGAGGCGGTGGGGGGTATAAATATTTTCGTCATTAAATGCTCAATGCAATCGCTGCGACTTTTTACAAGACCTTCTTCTCGTCGTTGTTCCTTGCTTTCAACGACTGGTCCCCGAGTGATGATTATCCTCTCGCAAGATAGGATGAATGGAGCTAGCAATTAAGCCCAAAAAATACATCGAAAATGTTGCAAAACACTTCTTTTGAAGGAGATGAATTGAATGGTTTTGGAGCCTCACGAAACATGTTTCAGATATGACGCGTAAAACAAACTGACGCATAAAGACTGTGTTCAAAAGTGTGAGCGGCAGCTCCGCAAGCACTTGTTGACAAATGAAAATCGTAGGTACTGCTCGGTCGCCATAGCAACAAGTAAGCGTCACAAATTTCGAACACTATCTGAGTGCGCCAAGTTCGACTACATCGAGGACGATGGGTGATGGTTGCCAGCTGATTAAATTAATGAAACGCGAATAAATTCAATATTTGTTTGAGATTACGAGTAAAATCTGTTTGTTAATTTCAAATATCATTGAATTAGTTTTTGAATATTAAATAACTACAAACGACTCTGTGCAAGGAATAAATCAAGACTTATGAAAATCGTGAGTAGGGTTGGGAAAAGCAGAAAAAGGATCACATGACTGGCGTCCCAACCTTATCTGTAAGAATCTTAGGTCGGACAGCGTTTTATGGGAGACAATGCCCCTTCTCATTGGTCTGCCTGATCTTATATGTGGTGCCAGGAGCATTTTTCCAATATCAGGGCGAATGAGACAGGGCTAGGGAACAGCCCTGAGCTAAATCCAATCGAATTGCTCCGGGAAATTGTGCAGCAGGAGCATGACAGGACAAAACCTCCCAGCGACCCAGGGCAGCTCGAAAAGGCGGTCAATGGGACTTGAGGAAACATCAGCCCTTAGCATCTCTAGAACTTTGTGCCTAGCATACCTGCTGGTAGTGGTGTCTCACGCTATGCCCATCTTCATGGAGAATAGATTGACCGGTGTGTGAATCTGTCCCATTACTTTTACTGAGAGGAAGGGACGATTCGTAAGGTATCACAACTTTTGACGCACCCTATAGAGAGACTTTCCGCTCGGTACGGCCGGAAAGGAGCCGCCGTGACGGTCACGGCGGACGGTCCAGGCTCCAGACTCCCCGGATAGACAGACGGTCCCGATTTTCAGGCGGAAAGGCGGCCCCTCCTGCAGCCAGGCAGACGGACAGACGGCCCCGTTCCGGGCAGCCGGTCCAATCTAG